TGATCTTTCAGTTTATCTTCCCAGGTTTGGAATGCGACCGCCACAGCATAAAGTTCGACCAAGCCTACCACATGTTCCTTCTCATTCACCTGCCAGGATTTCAAAACATTGTCGGTGACTTGCGACCCGAAGACAAATACCGACGAATCGGGACAAATAAGGATTGCACCAATTCCCGCAATTCCGTTTCCTTGTGAATCGTATTCCAAAGCTCCGTCGGTGAAAAGAAGAAAAGGGGGCGACCGCTTGGATATGAACAAGGTTCGAGGCTTCCCATTCGAGAGTTTCTTCTGCAATCTCGTCACAGCGCTTAAGGCGCGCTCGTCAAGGCGGGCCAACTTCTGGTCAGATTTCTCGAGCTCTCTCAAGTCAGCCAGCGCCAATCGTCCAGATCTGCCCCACAACTGGGCTTCAGCGAATTGCAGTTTTCCGAGCGCCGAGGGTAGTTGTGCTACTTTCACCTTTCCGGATTCAAGTATGTCAGTGAGGATGTCGTTCATCTCTTTGGTTCTGCTCAACTTGTTTCGAACTTTCACGCGACCTTGTCCGGTCTCTCTCAGGTCCAATTCCACTCCAAGCATTTCGGTGACCTCCTGGAACGGTTGCAGTTTGTCTTCACTGTAGGCGAATCCCAACAATTCAAGCAGGGCCAATGAAGAGGTCATTGAACTTTGCTCGTGCATGGAGTGGCTCACTAACACAAAGTCATCGAAGAATGCCGACCACAACAACCCCAAGTGTCTCCCCACCGCTTGTATGAAAGCACTGGTTCGGAGAAAATGGTGCACACTGGCCGCCGCACCGAATGGCAGAACTTTCATCACGAAGCATTCGTTTGAACCGTTTTCAGGGTTGCACAAAGTCACTACTGCATGTTTGCGTTCATCGCGGTGTAGCGGAAGTTGCGTGTACGCAGATTTTAGATCGATGCACGATGTTTTGAATACAGGTTCCACCGCCTTCCATTCAGTGTGAACTTCTCCCGCCAGGGTGTCTCCGCTCTTCAGGCGCAGCTCCATTCGCCCCTCAAACATCAAGAACTTCACCAACGTGAAGACAGACCACAAAACATGGTCCATGGTTCTCAGTTCTATCTTTTCCACGCTTGCATGGGTGAGGTTCACATTGTTCTCCTTAAAATCATCAATGGGACGGATCTTCTTCTGAACAACTCCAAATCGTCGAACCGGAATCCAGTCCTTTCCAAGCATCTGCGAAATCTCTTCAGGTTGGTACGGGCCTTCGAGCCAGCCTTTGTTCACAGCTTCATCCAACGTGATCTCGTACAACTCCTTCTGGATGTCATTTTCATACGTCAGTTTCGATCGCCCCAAAATCATGGGTCTCAGGAACTTCGATTTCTGTTCAAGCTGTGACGTCGTCAATGTTGCCATGGTGATGCCTTGTTTGAAAATACCGGCCACTGTGGTCTGTCCAGTGATTTTGAAGCCAGTTGTGAATTCGTCAAACAATGTCATGTCAGGCCACCCAATCTCTTCTGCGATCGATCGCATGAGCAGAATCCTTTTTGGTTTCATGATTCGACCAATGTCAGGCTCCATAAGGTTGTGAAGTTCAGTCTCCAACTCTCGCAGTGCCTTGGCTCTGGTCGTCCACTCGTTCAGCATTGTGATTCGCTTTCTGGTGACCTGTGAAGGTGATGAGGTCAGCTGGCCGTATATAGTGTGGACGAGTTCATCGGGCAAATTTCTCAGTTCGTCGAAGGGATGCCACAACTGTTTGGCCACGTTTGTGAATTCCTCAGGTGATCGATAGATTCCAAAAACACAGAGAAAGGACCCCCCTCTTTCTTCAGTTCTCAGCAAACGGCTTCCGACTGGAATGTTCGGAAGTGCGCGGGTGATGCACCCCTTGTCGTCGGTCTTGGGGATGTTGCGCAAAAGCACGGATGGTGTTGCCAAATATTCAGAAATCAATTGTCGCATGCCTCGTCCGCGAGGTTGTCGTTGGGGAGTCAACTTGGATGCAGTCACCTCGGCAGAGTCAGGAATAGTCAAGCCTCGAGTGAGGGACAAAGAATGCAAAACTTTGGCGTATGCAGTGCACAACTCTGTTGGATATTCGGCTTCCAAAGCTGTGTTAAATGCACCCAGGTCAGCATTGTATCCCCACGGCGCGTGTGGGTGTGAGTCATCGCAGTACCGTTCCAAATCACGGAAAACAGAATGACTCGCCAAAAACGTGGTCAATTTCTTGCGTTGACCACCATATGCACAAGCATGTAAATGAACCCAAATCCCACTTGTAATGGCAAAAAGGAAAAAGGGCAGGTCCCACATCCAGGAGTTTGTTGGGTTCTCAACTGTCCATGGGATGCCCAGTGCCTCCAGCTTCTGAATGAAGGCGCCGCACAAACGGTAAATGTCATTTGCGCTCACCACACGCTGCTGGTCTCGATAGTTCAGGTTTGGTAACCCAAGCAAAATTCTTGTGACCTCAATGGTTGTGGTCCAGCGCTTCCATCTGGAAGGGGGATACCACGAGCTTTTGAGCATGTGCCGCATGGGGGAGCAAAGTGAACTCCAGCGATTGGAACATTTTCCACCAAGAAGTTCAATTGGTCCCAAGCGGCTTGCTGAGAAAGGTCAAGTTGGACTATAGTGCAACGTGGGTGATGCTTATTGCGATCATGGTCTACGGGCACGACACAATATCCGTGTTTACGGACAGCGTCTGACAACTTGGCGCTGCCTGCACAAAGTTCAAGGAAAACCGGTGTATCTTTCAATGTTCCTGAATTGACATCTGGAAAAAGGTCACGGAGAACATCGGACTTATCACAACTGTTGCCGACGGACATGGCCTCAACTGGGACCTGAGTTGAGTCAGGGCCAGGTGATTGTGGAAAATTGCACGAATTCGAGACCTCTGCTACATCATGGAGTCACTCCTTTCCGGCCCCGGGACAATCCAGAGCCGGATGTTGCTTGTGACAACCTTTCACTGCACACGCATGAAGGCCTTTGGGACACCGTTGCTTATCCACGGTATTGCTACATGTCTTCAAGTTGTAGGAGAAGCACAAACGATGACCTTTAGGTGTGGCAGGGACTGCATTTAGGGCCAACAACTCATGCGGGATTCGGATGAAAGAATCTTTGCCCAACTTACCACTGCCCTTGCCCTTGTTGCCTTTGCCACTGCCCTTGAATCGCTTGGACGGTGGTTCTCCTGACGATGGTGTCTCGGCTGGCCTGGATGAAGAGGAACTTGGGCGCGGTTGCAGGAGTGTCAAAACTTCAGAGCTTTCCATGCAATCTTTGATCACTGCGTCGACAGGTCTGCCGGCCGGTGATGGTTTGATGCCTTCACGAGTACGTTCACTGATGAGCACGAACAACTTGCGATCTGCCATTTCCAACTGTTTCATAGTGGTTCGAACATGGTTTGGTGGAGGATCCTCCAAACGAGTTTGCATCATCTTCTCACTCCAAGCCTCCATCTTGGCGAACCCGACAACATTTGCCTGCTCAAGGGCCAGTGCCCGCCTGGTCAGACAATACCTGACTTGAATCTCTGAGGCGGTGCTGCACGGTTCCACCTTCGTCTGACGTTGCAACTTCAAGGCACCACTTGTGTCAAAGGTCAAGGATTGGTCTTTCTTGGAACCATGCAGTATCTCATGTTCGCGACTGGTGCAAACATCCCATGGTATGTACTGAATTCTGTCGCTTTCATAAACGCTAATGCAACGATCCACCAATGCATCACCTGGTTCGTATGGTCCTGAGATGTTCACTCCAATCAGTCGACGTTGCTGCTGTTTCAACCGTTCTGCACGTTCTGCTGGAGCCAACCTGCGAGCAGGAGTGTCGTCACTGGCTTCAACCCTGCTTTTGATGTCAGACGCCACATTGGCGTAGCTCTCACTGAAAAGTCTGCGAATGCATGACATCTCAACTGTAGTAGGTGACCTGCTAAGGAAGTCTTTGGTCAAGTTCACCAGTGGGGTCTCATCTGTGGCTCCAGGTTGGAAGTTGGAAGCAAAAGCAAATTTTGACATCGTGTCTAACCCATGTGATATGATCTTTGAGGTCACCGCATCATCTAGGCCAATCTCCTTGCATCTCTGCGCGAAAACAGCCTTGCTGTCTCCGTAGCTCATGGCGACGAAAGTTCCTGAGAAAGAGGAATGACTGTTGTGTCTGGGACATGAATGTGCAGTCGTGTAGTTTTCACTACAGTTGCATTACATCTAGTTGAGCAACTTGTGATGTACACGCGCGTGTCTTCATCGTTGCCTGCATTGTTCAACTTGAACAGCGCGGTGGAAAAACATGGATCTTCAACTTGAAGACTCCTTCACATGATCTGAACGTTTCAGATTTCTGACACATCACATTTGTCCCTAAGGACTTCACCTTTCGTCATTGACACGACATGCATTGTGGCAAGATTGAAAACCCAGAAAGGCCAACAAACCCTCAGAGGCGCTTTGTAGGGGTGGCCTCTTTGACTTGTTTTAGAAGCTTTTAGGGCTTGAAAAGGCCACCCCAAAAAATTGCCTTTTAGGTTGGAAATTTTCACTGCATTGAATCGCACAAGCTGCACAATCTTTTCACCATTTCGGGAATCATATGTCTAAGTCATGAGTTCCACCTCATGCTGCGTCTCTGAAGCACGAGGAGCAGGCCGGATGGAAGAAACCGGGTCTCTCGCTCAGCACCTCATACGTGTTAGCCATTTTGCGACCGCACGTGAACTCTATTCCAGACTCGTCGGCAAAGGCATGAATGCAGCGCGACACCTTGTGCCGCACGAAAATTGCCGTCTCCAGCCGTTCGTCTTTGGAAGGACGCCAAGTTCCCACCACTGAGGCGCATGCAGCTTCCTCCTGGACATGATCAACTTCCTCTTCATTTTCGGAACCAGATGATGACGATTCGCTCAGCTCGTCTTGCTCTTTCGGAATCTCGGACTCGGCCACAGCAGGAAAACGTCCAGATCGGGAGCAATCGGGAAGGAACCTCCCAGCTTTGACCTCTTGTATCATCTGGCACATCTGTCTCAAGGGCTCCGCCATAGCGTCCCGGCTGTAGCAGAGCATGCTCTGATTTTTGGATCCGGCGTGGTATCCAAGGAGTTTTCTAACCCCGTGGTTCATGCCGTACTTCGCACTCATTGACAGCAACGTGGCTTTCAGTGAATGCGTCCCAACCGGAGTTCCCTTCTCGGGCTCAACGCCTTGAAGTAGGCTCCTCAGCCAGTTAGCTCCAGAAGTCACTCCCAGCGGCATCTTGGACCATCCCTTCATCGTCGGCGAGGGAAGCAGCGGGATGAACTCGTCTATGCTGTTGGCCTGTGCTCCCAGTTCCTTCTGTCTGAGATCAAGCCAAGTAGGCAACCATTGCGCGTCACCGAAAGCCAACAACGGAACTGCTACTGGCAAGTGCCTAGTCTTCCGATCCAAGCTCACCGATGTCTTTGTTTTGGCGGCCAAGGCTTCGACGAACCCAAAACCATCGTCTTGCTGGTCCAGAGTCAGTTGGCAAATTTGTTGACCATCGCTGAAGCGCAGCCTGCCCATCAGGAGAAACAGAAAGAATCCGCTGGCCAAGCGCTCCTGTTTGGATCTCCGATTGTCCAGCACCGTCTCCTCAAGTTTCCTAATCTGATTCACTGTCAAAGGCGGTCTTTGGACCAATTTGCGTTTCTGAGCAAACAACGTGTTCACCAGTCCACGAATTCGTGATGAACCCAAGACCACATCTGCACCTTGTACGCCGAAGTGATAGTTCGCGAAGCTCAACGACAACAGAAACGATCTAGTGTAAGTTGCAGCCCTGCCTTCACACGACTTCACATAGTCATAACAGGTGTGTTCAACCAGCGGAAAAGGTTCAATGCCTCTGTCTTTGCAAAACTGAATATACTGCAGCACTGGACTGGCCCTTGCATGAATCGTGGAGGTGGCCTTGGGGCCAAGTGCATCTTTGATGCTTTCAATGAGCCCGCCCTTAGCAAACTCCATCGATTTGCACGCTGCTTGCAGTCTGCCCACTTCAAAACATCCCACCTGAGTCAAAATGATGCCAAGCCATTTCTTGTATGCACATTTTCTCTCCCAGGATAGCTTCTCACTCAAAAGACGGTCGTCCGACCCTTTCACCGCCCTAATGCCAACCTGTTTGAAATTCAGTACCTCAATGTGACTGGCATCCTCAGTGTTTCTGGGTGTAGCCACAGGCAACGGAGGAATGGCCCCGCTGACTTCCATGTCATTGGTTCTGAGCCATTTGCACACTTCCCATGGTGTGTTCAAGGTTCGTTCCCATGGCATTCTGAAAGATGATTTGAAGTGTTGAGTCCAAATATGTCTGAGGTTTTGATCATAAACTGAAGAGCTCACGAAATCAGATCTGTCTGTGTCTGTGGACCCCCCTGTCTGCTTCAGCCCCGGAATCACAGACGACGATGACGTCGACATTTGTGATGGCGATGACCTTCGTCTCCGCGGGTGCAAGGATTCGGGCACCCGTGAATGGCGCACTGAAAGTCGCACCGGAAAGGCACCCGCAGAGGCGGCGTCACGGGCTGTGCCACCGGCGGCGGCGGTTCCAAATCACCCTGATATCCAGGCAGCAACCGATGATGCAACTCAGTCAGTAATGTGAAAAGAGCCGACACCAGTTGTTGAGTGGACCACTGTTGCACGGGGTGATTGGGAAAGGGATCCATCCACTGGCTACAGATCGTAGAGCAACCAGGCGAGAACAAAAATGCCACCCAAAAGAAAACTCACTCCACCAAAAAGAGCCCA